GAGACAAGAGTGAGTTTAAAATCACTTGTAAGTAAATGTAGGACCACCACGAGTGGTCGAGTGGCGACTACGGGCCGGAAAAGGAAATAGGGAAAAAGGAAAAGCTTTTACTGTATGGCTCCTAAAGTTTATAATAAATTGCCAAAAAAGTTAAGAGAGGCCACCTTGAACACTTTTCGCAAAGAACTATTGACCATTTTTATAAGTATATCATATTATACATTAACTGAATATTTGACTGATACTAAATTGTAATATAATTTTGACATGATAGTTTTGTAAGCATTAAATTTAAATTCTAAAAATTGACATTGAATTATTATGTTATGTAACTATTAATTTTTGTTTGTATCTTTATATGGGACTAATAATTTGTACGCCACTCATAGGCCAAACATAGAGCTCTACCCATTATTATGTACCACCTGAATTCTACATTTACCTATGTTTTACAAATAAATGATTTGATTTGATTTGATTTGATTTGGAATGTCTGCAGGTCCCCCACTAGGTGGACCGACGATCTGGTGAAAACCTGAAAGCGGGCAACGCACAACCGGTCATTGTGGAAATTTTCTGCTCGCTTTGATCGTCGTCCAGTCAGCCGCCCAATCTCAGTCAACCGCCCGCTTTAGACAGCCGCCCGCCCTAACGGCTCATCGTAGACTAACTTCGCGGTTTCCCAAAAAGCTTTGTATTAATTTTCTTGAGATTTCTGAGCATTTCCATCTCTTAGTTCACATCTTAAGTCTTAATCTTAGGTAGGTAAATGCATAGGAAGCAGTAAATGTACTTGTTTGTGTATCATTCGTCTTCACTCCTCAATATAATTTACTGGTTCATTGTTCAGTTGATGCAGCCAAAAAATGGCTTGTTATTTCATAGACTAGATACAACAAAAAAATTCAATAATAAAATAAGAAACTATGTAAACATTTGATTTTTCCCGAAAAACTCAGAATCATTCTATACTGTAAGGTTTAGAAAACCATATCTTGCACTCTGTTTTTTCATTTCTAATTAATTTTCCTCAGTGGTGCGTTTAACCTCTGTTATCGTTGACATTGACAGTTTTATTGACATTTAATTTATCCATCGAACCTGTACCCCGCTTGTGACTTGCGTACGCGCAGCGCACAACAATCCGCCAAAACCGCCGCAGGCTAGCTGTGCCAAGTGTAACAATACCTACTTTCGCATAAACCTCATTACTGACATTGTGGAAATACTTGGAAGATAGATTTAAACTACCACAACACTAACCAACGTAAACATGTACCTATTGTATTAGTAAATACCTAAATTAATGTAAGTAAGGCTTGTAATGTTTTATTAGAATGAGCAAGGTCCTAACACAGGTATTAAAAAGGAGACCTCGATATGTGTAACGTAAATGACTGATTATAAAGTTAAAGATCATTAATTTTAATTTTCACAGCAATTTTAGTGTGATCTTCAAATTTGCATGGACATAAGCCTCAAAGCTGCAAACTGAGCACGAATTATTTGTAGTTTTTTTTTTATTTGAATTAATCTACGTACCCAGTTACTTGATAAACTTTTTTTATAAATACACAACTAGGTACATTGTATTTACTTATAATTTTTTCACAGATTTCGCGTACTTTTTTTTTAGCTGGCTGTAAGGTACTGTTTTTGTTGCAAACAGCCAGAGCATCAGTTTTTCTTTTTCAAAAAACTTGTTACAACAAGCGCACAAGCAAATTAAGTTATTTATAACTCGCTCATCCATCAAACTGATCACCGATACAAAAGGTATTGTGTTCGATTCCCGGCGAGCACATTAATCGTGGCCACAGCACAAAAGTATCAGCCAATTTATAACAAACTACGCTTAATTGAAACCGTTTTCGAACTTCTCTACTTAACCTACATTAATATGTTAGTTCTTGCAACTCACGAAGGCGAGTGATTGGGTGTGTACATGTTACATTATTGTACATGCACATAACTATAGTTCTATCAAAATTTTTGAAAAATGAACAGTATCGAGCCACCACACACGTAAAGCTCACTCGCCTTCGTGAATTGCAACAACTATAATACATTAGTCAAACGATTCTGAAACGTCGACTGGCAAAAATTGGAACTGTTATTAGTAGCCACTATTATTAGTAGCTCCCTCCCTTCTTGTCAGTGTTTACAATATTAATAAAAGTAATTGCCAATATTATATGATTTTTACTTGGATAGAGACAAAAAAAAGTTTGCTAAAAGTTAAGTTTGGTAAAAGTTGTTCATGTTATTGCACAATATGAAAAGATTATTATCTTAGGACATGCTCTACCATCATTATTTTTAGATTTTTTTATTTAAACGTAAGAAACCAGCCAGCATTTGAGTGTCCTGTCTGTTTTCCCTACACCCTGGCATGGTTGAGTAACGCATTTCGCGGGTAGTGTAGAAATTGTCATGCAATGGGCCCATTCATTAGCATTTCGTGCTGATTGGTCGTCCGTCTACGTTCGGTGTTAATGAAGACGAGCTAATGTAATAAATTGGTTAACTAGTCATGATGGTATGTAGAAACGGCCTGATCATCACTTACCATCAGGTGAGATACAGGAAAAGAGCTTCCTCGTTGTAAAAAAAAACGACGGCTCACAAACCACGTATTCACCCAAGAGCACCCGCCCAAAATGTCAATGGGTGCTCTAAGTGGAATAGATCAGGTTCTATTCGTGCAGGTGCTATTTTTACGGGTGCTCAAAGTGGAGTAAGTTTCACAAACAGCATGGAAAGAAGGAAAGAAAAACTCATTGTGCTAAACATTCTATTCATAAATAAATAAATGTTAAGAACTACTTGCGAAGCTACTTGTAAAATGATGCTTAGAAAAAAAATTGTCTGATTGCACTTAGAGTCCTAGACGGTAATAAATATAGACCGCATCAAAAGAGGCATTTTGTGTAAAGTAAATATTTTTTACAAAGAAATAAAATCGACTCCAAAATGCGTAGTTACTAAAAAGTAGAAAAAATAACCAGCCAAGTGCCAAGGTTAAAAAACGTATAAAATTTTCCGGCACTCTTATAATGTCAACTCGTAGGTACTTTTTACTCGACTACGTTAATGTTCAAAATTTAGTATTACTTCTAACATCGTTATAAAATCTATATTTTCTATTACTTAATATTATAAATGCGAAAGTAACTCTGTCTGTCTGTCTTGCTTTCACGCCTAAACCACTGAACCGATTTTGATGAAATTTCGCATAGAGATAGTTTGAGTCCCAGGAAAGGGCATAGGATAGTTTTTATCCCGGTTATTGAAACGGACGCGCGCGATGAAGTTTTCCTGTGACAGACAAAATTCCACGCGGGCGAAGCCGCGGGCGGAAAGCTAGTAATGTTATAAGTGATACAAATATGTATAAATAAAAAGGCAGCTCTATAAGGCAATAGAGCAAGACAAGTTTTGTGCTTTGTATTTATTTAAATTTCGCAAACGTACTCATTATGCCAAAAGCAAATCAAATATACATAGATCATGATACGGCATTACAATACAGTAGACATAAGTAGTTGTTTTATTTCAAAACAGCTGATACGATCTCGATTAAAAAAATGCTTACGATCGATTACCGAAACAACGCAATCCACCTGGCCGCATCGATACAATCGAGAACTCGATACTTGCGTCATTACAATCTATCCGGATTAGTGATGTGGGGAAATAAACTCGATGTAACTTTTTATCGATATTTATTAAAAAGCATTCAGGCATAAAAGAAAAACTTAAAAATAAAGTACAATCTAATTACTAAACATACTGACGGAAAGGTACGACATTTTGCATTTGCTCTACATTTTTAAATGTCATGCAACTACAATAAATATGACGATTTTAACAAGTGTAATTACTTATGTATAATATTCTCTTTTGTTCCTTAAAAGAAGCAAGACGTAAAGTAAATGCATGTACCATAAATATTTGTCAAATTGGTACCTATTAAAATGTTAACTTTATCGACAAAGAAAATAGCAATTTTATCGAATAACACACAACACTAATCCAGATTATAGACTACATTGTCACAACCGACCTGTGTACGCAAACATAACTTTGCTAATCGAACTTCAAGCTTATTACAAAGCACTAAAGCTTACGAAAGCTCTCAAAACAATTAATTCAAGGTTCTACGACGTACTTTTACAAGAATTTGTACTATTGAATTAAGATTTTAGATCAGGTAGCTGGATTGTCACTGTACTTGATTAACTGAAGGAATTTAGCTATTTCAAGCTTGATCAGTATGCAAAAAGTTAAATACGATGTTTGTGACTTGCAGATTAGAATAAATTAAAAGGTTTTTTCTATAATATGATCACTTTGTAATTTACATAAAAATAGAGGGCCAAAAATACTTATAACAATAAAAGTTAGTTTTTTGGCTCCAATGCCTTTCGAGATTATGGCACATTACTTATCTTTATTTTTTCTATTAAGTGATCTAGCTAATGTATTTAAATAATCAACATAAATCATCAGGAAATAATCACACAGTATTATAACGACATGAAAATCCTATTGTACTATACTATGCACAATTTTCATATCGACTACAGGAAGCTACTACGTAACACAATCGATTAAATCGCGACATCGAGTTTATTCATTTTATTACAATACCCGAGTTCTCATTATTGTTCTTATCAACCGAACCCTGATGTGTCCATCAAGTTTTTTCTGCGATCCGATCGAGTTTCGACCTCAATCGATTAATTAAAAGGAAACTCACTCATTATTAACCTCAGAGATTATCAAAATGATATCAATCTACGAATTTCAACTAAAGTAAAAGTACTGACCCCATTGTGAGGCTTTTACTCTCATCCATAGAGAATTGCGGTTTCTAATCTAAGAACAAAACACTGTCAAATTGATTTCAAACCAATCCGAAACCATTTTTAAACAGAGGTCGAACCGCAAAGTTCAAATATGCTCCCATAAAATAATCAATCATTTCTTTGTTACAGATCCACGTCGGTACTGCTGACCTACAAAAAAATAAATACACCAGATACGAACGAGAAAAAAGATCCAATCACTTGGATGTAGACCGAACGATGACAGATTAGACAGTGGCAAGCCGCACAGCGAGATACCTTGGCGCATCCAGACGAATTAAAAAACAAAATGTCAAAATTACGCGCGCGCAGTTGATTCGAAATTTGAAAATGTGCGTGAGTGTCACCTAGGGTTGGTCAAAGAATAAACATGGCGCACAAAGTGAAGAGCAACCATTACATAGCCACGCACAGATCTGGCGTGGACTCGCCATCGTCGGGAGCTTATTTACACAGAGCCTCTTCTAGAGACGAAAATGATAGTCATCGAGCTCCCTCAGAAAGGACATTGTCGGAATACACGGTAAGTATAATTAATTATACGTCTTGTATAACACTTTATAGAGAGGCCTTGTGTTCCAGTATTCATTTTGGAACATTATTATGTAGTTAAACCTACTAATACACAACTTTAAAAAAAAGAAAATTATTTTAAGTCCCTATTATTATCTAGTAGCAAGGTAATGCAGTTGTGCACGTACTTACTTACATAATTACAGACTATAAACAATGCTGAGCTATTTATTCGACCACGTAGTAAATAGCAATCATTACACTTCCATGTAGGCAGCAAACTATCAATTGTTATTGCAACGTCAACACTTCCTTAATCTTTGTCAGAGACGCGAAAAAACTTTATTTGTTAATCCGCAGCATTGTAGATCAAAACGATAATGATTGACTAACTAATGCTGCTTAACGCATAATAGATGTGTATTAAATTCAACCTTGATCTATTGCATTGTTTTTATCGTTCCGGAATCGATCTACTCTAATTTACTAAAATGGCATAGGTTTTGACGTCAATTACCGACTACAATTTTACATAACTACTGTGGTGCACCTGCTCTATTATTTTTGTATGCTATGTTTATAAAACAGTAATGATTATTAATGAGACACGTATAGGCTCCAAATATGTAGATATTTTAATACTATGTTCATTTGTATGACATACCCAAACAGCTGGTGGTTCCTGTACTGCCCTATGAAGCCAGCTACTTTTGTGGGATTGAATCCGTTTAGAAACTTATGCTGGTGTGATGAATATGCGAGGTTATAGTTAGTTTGGGTTATGCAGCAGTAGACTTTTGGCCTCCGATAAAATACAGACATTCCTAATTTTCTATGTAAGTGTAACAGTTTGGACAACTAAAATGAAAATAGTAAGACACGGGTCCTAACGCGACGTTTATTAATGACAGTCTGCTTGTGACCACGGCTGCAGCATAGCAGCTGAAACGTCAAGCCGTGAGTACATAATGTAACTCATTTATAAACGTCGCGTTAAGACCCGTGTCTTAGGCTGAGTTGCACCACCTAACTTTAACGGTAACTACTTACTTTTGAATGGAGTTTGACAGATTTTTGACGTTTTTCAAAGTTAAAGTAAGATGGTGCAACCCAGCCTTACTATTTTAGTTGAAATGGAACGCGAAAGTTTAAAATCTTATAGTTTGAACAACAATTAAAAATACCTTACTTTCGATAATTCTGTAGGTGAAACTGCTCATAAACAAAACTTATTTGAAAGAAGACCACGGAGACGTGTTTTTGGAAAAGGGCACATTTCAAAATACTTCGTTATTTTAACGTGAAGTTCATAATGAAACAAGATCGGCCAGCACACGTCCAGCAAAACAGATGTGATTTATTTCTGACGCGGCAAATGGCGTTTCCTGCGCGATTAAACGCCGCAGAAACGCGATGCTAATATTGAATGTTTGACGGACCGCGGGGTGTGGTCTAATTTACGAAAAATAAGCGACTTTTACGACATTCTTCATTATTTTTAAAATTATTGTCTTATTTTGCAAACACTAGTGTGTGTCGTTATAACAGTTACAAGTTAGAACCTACCTACACGATAAAAAAAGAACTCGAAATCAGCTTAATCAAATTTCAGGAAGTTAGAAAGTTCACAATTCTTATTCAGCCCACACAAATAGACCATGCCCTCGGCTGCTGTTTATATTCTGTATTCCCTAGAAATAAAATGTTAGATCCAAGTTTCTTGTTGCAGTCTTTATAATCATAACCAGCCATGGTTGTTGAGTGACATTAGAGCTGAAACGGCTACTATGCCCGTAACTGTCCTGAAAACGGCTTATTTACGGTTAAAGAATTAGAATCTGCAGTAAATTAACGCGTAATTACAAATTAATCATGTCAAAATCGCTCCCTCCTATCCTTAAGGCGATTAGAGTCCTCAATCCGCGCCAAATGGGCATTTTGTAAAGCCTACTCCTCTTTTACTGCTGGACAGAAATAGTTGAAAAAAATATATGTTAAACAACAGTTCAAGGACTACAGGGCAGATATGTACCATCCTAGACTGCATCTCACTTAACACCAGGTGCGATTGCGGTCAAATACCTGCCTTGTCTACATAAAAAAAAAAAAAAAAAAAAAAAACATTTGTGACGTTTGAATTTTCGCTACGTCTCTTTGTTTTGGATTAAAAAAATAAATACGGGACATCGATTTTTTACTTAAATTCCCTACTCCTCCAAAACGGCTATGTTAATTTAAAAGATTTTTGCACGAATAGATTAGGAATTCTTTAATCTTTAAATGACACGTTGCGTTTTTCAATCGAACATTACTTTCATTCATAAATTTTACTTTTGATAAATTCCGAACGTTTTGCTGTTGAGGGGGCCTTCGCGGGGTGCGGGCGGCAGTCGGCCGCTGGCCTTCAGACGGGGAGGTTGTGTCACTCGCTGCAAACTGACATTAGCGATCAAAATGAATTTTTTCTTTGGCTGAGTTGCACCACCTGACGTGACCTAACTTTGACCGTAGCTTTGGCGATAACCGGTGTTTTTTTTTTGTCATCTAGCCTAGTTGTCGTCAGGAAGTTGGTCTAACTAATTCAGCTTGCAAGATTCCACCCGAACAAACATTTATGTAATTACCTACATACATCATAAATTGCAAGCTAAATAAAAGCTTGTAATAAAGTCGGGTTTGTTCAAATTTCGAGAACGACTGAACCGACAAAAGCATTAGAAAATTTACGAAAAATAAAATAAAATTTTATCCCGTACAAAATGTTCATGGATTTTGTTATTTTTATTAAATACCTTTACGCCTGAGTTAACTGACACCGACATCAAGGTTCATCAATTTAAGTTTAAAATAATAGGCAGTAATGTATGAAGAAAGAGCTTCTATTCTGTATCTACCTATGCCCGTGTATTTTTGATCGGTGTCAAATCGGAGTTTTTGGTGCGGGGTACGCGGGTGTTGCTCGCGGCGTGAAGGTCAAACGCCCAAGGTCATTGAGGACTCTAATCGCCTTAAGCCCCACCACGGTGCCACATACCGTATTGTTTGGCGTTTCACTGATGTAATACGCCGCGGAACATTTCAACCTTCCGAACGGCATTGCCGATCTGCATTCGACTTTAATCGGTTATTAACTCCACAATGCGTTTCAACTCAGCCAGAGTATATTCTGGGAACGGTTTGTCGTTGTAAGGCATTTGTAGGTGAATCAATTGCGCGTTAAAGTTATAAATGGCTTGGTTGGTTGTAGTTCCGTTTTGGTATGAATTAAAATGGTCCATTTATCAGGCCACACAAAGGGACAAATCCTCATAGTACACACTCATTATAAATTAACGTAGACCTAGCTACAATTGAACAACAAAAGGTCAAAGAATTATATTGGTTTTAACTAGGTTTAGTCTAAAATTTTAATGCAATCTACACACCAAACCAAGTATCTTAATAAAGTCTTTTATTCAGATACTTGGTTTGCCTGGAGACGTCAAGAAAACACAGATGAACAGAACGAAAACAGAGATGGTTAGACGCCAACGCTGAAGGCGGGCTTGGTATAATGTAGAGTCCTTTAGGCTTACAATAATATTTGGCCAATAATATAACCATCCTCTTGTCTTCATTCCAGACGATGGACGAGCGAACGCGGTCACCCTCTGGCGGCGGAGACCAGCGACACAGCGAGCAGCGACACAGCGAACAGCGACACACCGAGCGCAACGGCAGAAGACAGCCCAACGGCTCACCTCGAGCCGACTCTGATGTCTACGTCACCAGTGCCGCGTATAGACCGCCTTCGGAGATCAGGTGAGCACAATGCTTCATTCATTATTTCAACCACAAGACGTCCACTGCTGGCCATAGGCGTCCCCCAATGATTTCCATATCGCCCGGTTGGTAGCGGCCTGCAACTAGCGCCTTCCTGCTACTTTTATGAGATCTTCGATCCATCTTTTGGGTGGACGTCTGGACGTGCAACGCTGCGTTCAAGCTTCATTCATCATAATGAAAATAATTATCGTTTATAAACATAACTGATGACACCACTGGCAAGTGACAGGGCCTTTCTCTACAGTGGTGCCATCTTAGTGAGTGCAAATGCGATAGTCCTCCTGCCACTTGAGCGATCACTAATTGGCGCAGTTTCTTAGCCACTAGTGAGTGACAGGACCTTTCTATACAGTGACGGTAACTTCACCAGTTTGGTCACTAAAACGATAGCCCTCATTGGGTGCGTCCGTTTTAAACAAAAATTTCTGCTGGAAAAGGCCTCTCCTTCTCCAAAGGATTCCACAAAGACTGGCCTACGCAACGCACGGCGAATGTGTGCGAACAAACGCGAGCAATTTTGATTGGTTCGCGAGCGAACATTTCTAGTCTCTTCATACTTTAAAGAAGTAGAATTTTGAATTTGAAGGTATGCAAAATCATTATCATCTGATTGTTTCCTGTTCAAACCTGCCTCATGATAATCAAGGTCCATGATGGCCTGCATCCATAGCTGCAAGCGAACCCAATCACAGCGAGAGTTATCGAGCGACCGACTCACGCGCAGCTTTCATTCAAAAAGCCTTTTGCGAAAAGCAATTTTAGAAAATTGATCCGTATCTACACGCTACGAAAACCTCTTTTACTAGGCAATATGCTCATTGGCATTTGTACACCTTCACATAAAATCGAACAGTAAATAAATAAATTAAGTTACCGCATTATTCGAAGGAGTAAATCTTATTTACTTCTGACCGTTAATTCGAATCCATTACGAAAGCATACGCATTGATCATTCCAACTGTCTCTTTAAAATGGCGGCGATCTGTCACCACTTACCAAGATGTTTTATAGCAAAGTAAATTAATGTTTACCTCGATTAACATTAACAAAAGCCACAACTTCTTATTATTAATATAATTCATTCCCCTAATATGTAAGCCCATAAATTATTTCACGTGATATTTACCTGTGATCTCACCTTTGGGGGCAAACGGAACAGTTACCGGGACTTTTGATAAATCACCTAATAAATAATATCACGCTACGTTGAATTCTTGAGACTCGAGACCATGTAGAGAAATTTCGAGAATTTTCGAGAAACCATGTCCAGAGATGTCCCGAAAAAAGATTACGGTACAAAACTTTCTTTTGGACTTTCAAATAATTTGGCAAATTAACTGAAAATTTGACTCAAATTATTGAAATTACCTTGCCGTGTGTCTTATCAACGCAAAAGACATGATATGTGACAATTTATTCATGGCATTATCTTTAAATTGAACCGTTGCTGATGCAAGATAATGATTTTGAAGTTTTGATTGCTTTTAAGGCTTATTTACCCAATCAGCAGTGTTTTTCTGTAAATCGCTTCACCTTGAATACCTATATGTGATTATTATAATATGGAATGGAACACGACAACAACTTTCACGGACTTGGAATGCAGTAGATACGCTAAATATTGCTATATAATATATGCTTTCAGGTACTTTTCAATATTTTGTAAACATTTCCTCAAGATTTCCCTTGACGAAAAAGAAAACCGCATCTTTTGAAAAGCGCCCGTATTCACAAACAATACTTGCTTAAGTGAAGCATCAAATCGAACGCACAGCGTTGAATAGAGCTCTGTGATGATTGGTTCGTGTTCACACGCACTGTGAGACCTCATAGTAATGTTTGTGAATACGGGCGTAAATCGTTTCTAGAGCAAGAGCTCTCCACTTGTTTTGTAATTTATAGCCTTTTTGCTAAGAATAAAAACTGTTTCTTATTTATCTCCATGTAATTATAGTAGATAGGTACAAATATACATAGCACTATGTCCAAGTTTCAGTACGTCTACCATTCTTTATACATCACGAAACAACAATAAAACTTTACAGTCCCACGTAAACATTCTTTACTATAAAACATGGTATTTCTCGGACGTCATAGTACATACAGCACATCAAGCTATGCTTTCTGGTATCTTATGTAGCTGGAATAAGGTCGATTTTGCGCCAAAAATATGTTCCAACTACAGTACTGTAGTCATGTGATTCAGATGTAAACAGTCAATAGCAGAGATCTTCATAGTACATTGATTATAATTTAATTACGCATATTTCATGGTACAGTTTGCCATTAAATTGCACGATGGAAACATAAAGCAACTGAATAACAGTAGGGTTAGATTACCTAGTTGATTGAACGCAAAAAGTATTTTATTTTAAGTTAGTTTTCGATTTTGGTCCCATAGAGTTATTGCATTTAAAGTAATTTGAACATTACAATTACTATCGAACCGAACAGGTTTTATTTTTCTAAAATACAACAAGCATAGACGTCGTAAAAGTTCACTGGCTCAGAGGCCTTAAGACGCAGTATAACGTCCGTATTCACAAACATTACTATGAGGTCTCACAGTGCACATGGACGCACAGGGTGAGACACGAACCAATCACAGAGCTCTATTAAACGCTGTGCGTTCGATTTGCTGCTTAGCTTAAGCAAGCATTGTCTGTGAATACGGGAGTAAACCATCTGACTATAAGTAGCCCACTTGTTTGCCTCGCCTTCCCTCTGCCAATCCGCACTGAGAGCACCAAGTAGAGTCACAGAACTCACAGAGTATGGTCTAAGCCACCCCACAGTAGAGGCCCAATTCGTGCCCTAAAGTGGGACGTATTTATTTATAGATTTGCTTACTTTGCTTTTGCATTCGTTTTGTAGAATTCTAATCGTAATTGAGCTCTATCAAGCTTTTTATGTAGGTACTATGAAGAGAGCTTTCTGCATCTAACTCTACATTAATATTAAAGAAATTATTAATTTACCGGGAAACGTAACACGTGCTTACATAAAACTTGTTTGTCCGTACGTCCTTCATGTGCTGTGAATAATGTTATATTACTGGTTGAATCGCTGAGTAATAAAACCTTATTATTTGTCTGTTATTATGAAACATGCGTTTAAACAAGATATAGGCAATAAAATTATATTTTATGTTAATCTGAATTTCAGTGCCAATTTGAGACTCTAAAACTGATTTTCATGGAAAGAATTAGATTACATGTAAATGTCCAAATCCACTTCATTTCGTATAATTTCCATTTTGATTAAGTATTTATCAAAGAACGGTTATCTTCCACAAGCCAAAACATACACATTATTCGTAACATTTTCTACTTTTGTGTTTATTATTCTGAAAGTTTATGCACGGTAATAACCGTGGTTTATGGCTTTGGCAGAATTAATAATTAAACTTTTTCCTGTGGCAATTACGATATCGTATAATTAGAAGGTCTATTAGTATCTCTTTAAGTGGCAATATTAGTGTAAACTAAGGTTTGAGTTTTATCTATCTTACAAACAGAAAACTAGACCTACTACTTATTACGAGTACCTTTGCTAGAAATATGCCTACAGATATTTAATTGTCCGCGCCTGTAATAAATACAATACTAACGGTCTGTGAGACAATAAATAGCAGTACTTACTCCCTTAATTACACTCTTTTATCAATTCCTTCCTTTCCAGTCGCAAACCATTCACAATAATAAGAACAATGTTGCTGCAACAGAACTTAAATTCATAAGGGTCTGATTCTGAGACGGCAAAATTGGAAAACATAACTTAAATAAATATCTGCAAGGTCTTAAAGAAATAATAATTCCATAAAAAATATTTGCATTTATAATAAGTAATGGAACAAAAATAGGTACGTGCATTAGTGCATATAACTTGCTTGTACTATAAAACAATATAACCGAATTGATAACCTAATCCTTTTTTAAGACGGTTAAAAAGTTGTCAAATCTTTTGGAGAGCAAGCTCGTAACTCTCATCATAGCGTTACCTGAATTTTAGGTTCTCTGCAAACCCTATCGTTCGTTTCAGCCAAATGACGTCCACTGCTGAACAAAGGCCTCCCCCAAGGATTTCCACAAAGACCGGTACTGCGCCGCCCACATCTAGGCACCTTCTGCGACCTACACCAGATCGTCTGTCCACCTAGTGGGAGGCCCGCCCACCTACACCTTAAAATCAAAATTAGTGGCTTGCCGTTTCGTTAATCAAGGTTTATGTTTAAGAAGTTACATTGATGGTTATTTTAATAGTGATAAGATTAACCTGTGGATGAATCATTAAACATCTTTCATTTGGCAATAGGCTTAAATGATTTAATTTTAGAGATAGTGAAGCAATCAGAATCGAGCCCAGCATTGCGAAATATTGCGAAATAAAACTAAGTGGTTATACCAAATGGACCGAACTATGGGAATCATTAATTTCTCTTACTCAGCTGTCAGCGATCAACTCGTGCGCCGTTTTTCTTGAGTGAGAGGCCTATAATATTACTAGATATTCACTTCCCTACCTAGGTATAATGAAAATGGTTGGAAGGATTTCAACAGTCTGGAAATCTTTAGGTGTAGGAAACTAGGAGTGAACTTTTAGCAGTAGGTAGCTGACGATGAGTAATAAAAGGTAGTTACAAAATTAAGTTACTCTAATAAGTCTAGATGAAGTTGCCTGATATTATTATTTTATCTTCGAACTTAATAAGCATACTAGTTCTAATTATGTATTGATAAGACTTATCAAGCTACAATACTGAGTATTGTCTCTTTAGCGCTGTCACTTGAAGTAGGTACTCGTGATGTGAGCCTAACATGGAAAAACATATAGATTAAAGTAAATAGAGCAAACAAATGAACCCCTTAAGATAAGCTTATTACAAAAAGTTAAACACCCGTTGAACACTTGTTTAAATTGTCATTTAGTATAAAAATGTAACTTTATACCAATGATCAACGTTTGTTTAACTTTTT